AGAATGTTCTGATCAATAGGAACGTCTTTGGTTGTTTGTTCTTGGTCTTTTTTAGGTAGTGGTACCAATAAGATGGTGCACAGTGCCATCACCAGATAACTTCAAGATAGGAAATGATGTTCTGTACCGGTGACTCACACCTGCAATCTTGTCTTCTTGAAAGTAGAGATAAGAAGGATCTTGCTTTGATGTCAGCCCTGGGAAAATTAGCCAGCCTGAGCAAATCATTTGTAAGAACCTATCTCAAAAATACTGAACACAACGAAGGGCTGTTGGAGTGTCTCACATTGTAGGGGACCCACCTAGCAAGTGTGAGGACCTGAACACAAACACCAGTACCACAAAAGATGGGGAATTGTGGCCATATAGAGCAGACTCATGTGGGACTGGAACATACAGTGGTGCCAGTGTCTTGGACTCAGTGCTAATCTTACTGAATGTCTACAGCTCTGCATTGCAGACTGTCCTCAGAACTAAGATATGGGATGCCCATTGATGTTGGGGAATTCATTTGAGTTTAGCAATGCCAGGAAAAGACAGAACAGATCTGAATATTGAATTGGCTCTGGATGAGAGTTTGACACCGTTTCCAATGAGCCTGTGTCATAATGAGCCATTTCATCGTGGAAGTGGGAAAAATTGTGTGTGTGGAGGTTCCTGAGTGAAATTTCCTGGTTTTGTAGGTTCCTTTCACTCCCTTCCTCAAAGTGAGCGATGATGGGCTGCGTCTGCACAGAGACAGTGGTCTCTAAATTTAAAAATGTGTTCAACCTTCTCCTCGTGCATCCTTGAGCTTCCCTTTTTTCTTTTTTTGAATCTTTTTCTGTGAAATTGCTGTTTACTTCAGCAGTTAGGAATTTTATATGTTTTTTGCCTATAAGATTTTAATGATGACATGATGCCTTCGCATAGAGGTTTCATAAATATTATTCAGACTTGGGAAAAATTGTTTCATGGATACTTGGATTAAATAAAATTTAATTAGTAAAATTTGATGACATATGTATTTATCACTTAATCTTTCCTGGATATGTAATTAGTTATTGTGATTTTCTGAAATGTTGGAATGACAAAAATCATTTCATTTTGTCTTGTTAAACAGGATTTATGTTTTGATAATATTTTGTTTGTGTTCATTAGCCCTGGTGTAGAATATTTTAAGGTGTGGTCTTTATGTTGTTGTTGTTTTTCCAAATTCAAAATGCAATTTGATCATTGTCAATGTTATAGAGTATAGAATCCATTTAATTTTGTCTAGTATTAAACTGTATTTATGTTTTGATAATGTATTTTTTGTGTTCAACAGCCCTGATATTGAACATTTTAAGGTGTGGTCTTTTTCTTATTCTTGTTTTTGTTGTCTTTCTAATTAAAAATGCAATTGATCTTTGTCAATGATATAGAGAATAGAATCCATTATTTCTTTGTTTTTCTTTATTTTTTTTCCTTGGACACAGAGGGGACTTTATTAACAGACTGCTGAGAAACAGCTGATTGCACCCCTTGCTCACTGACTAACCTGGAGAACTGCATCAAGCAGGGAAAACCCTGAGGCTCTTCCAGACAAACCTCTACTCCTCCCCACATGTCCACTCCACTGCACCCACCCAACTGCCCACCAGTAGATTAAGTCTGTGACAAGGTCCCAAGGACAGCATCCTTCCCTGTTTTGCTCTGTTCTGACAGGTTCTGTCACACATTTTTGACAATGGTCATGGGCATTTGGAGCTCAAGCCAGGCTCCCAAGTTATTTAGTATTATTTTAGTTATTTTTCATGTAGGGTCTCCTATCTTGACCATGGCTGCCCATAACTATAATCCCTCCATAGATAACTCCCATGTAGGTGGAATTATTTGCAAATACCACCATACAGAGTTATTGTCTGAGATGATGCTGCATTATCTTTTTGCCCAGGTTGGTTCTCAAACCATGATCCTACCAATCTTTGTCTCCTGAGTAGATGAGTTGACAGACCTGAGCCAGAACAAACCAGCACACACTGTGATATTTCTGAATTACAATATTTTCCTTGGTGTCATGATCATCAGTTTACAAAAACGAACTCCCTTTGTGTGCATTGTCTGAGACTGTGAATCCAGGTTCTTCATTTTTAACATCCTTTATAAAATCTTCTTATAATTTACAATTTTCAGAAGCTCTTTAATGCTACTGAAAAAAGAAGTATTGCACATTTTTGGTGGAATTGGGTTTTGAATTCAGGGCTTTGCACTTGTAAAGCAGGTGCTCTATTCTTAAGCCACATCTCCTCACATTTAAGATTGGATTTTGCAAATCTTCACTTTTGGTGGCTCTCTATGGTTGCACACCTCTTCCTAAAGTAATTGAAATTCTTCATTCTGAATGAGAGAATGAAAATTGTATATTATTTACAGAATATATCACATGTGCACTAGTATTGCAAAACTTGCAATGAATTTTTGGATAGAAGGAAAAGGAGTTTAGAAATAAAGATCCCAGAAGAAAGAGAACTGAAAAGAATTAAGTGAAGATACAGTAAATCCTTTCTCTCCCTTGGGCATACTGGGGATTAAAGTTAGGGATTCAAATTTGCTAGGCACATGATCTAACACTTGAGCCATGCCTCCAGTCTGCAAAATCATTTATTCACATTTGTTATTATATATAAATGTAAGTACTGGGTGCTTATGGTTGCTGAGAAGAAATGATAAATGAGAGCAACTGAGTATGGGTATGGAAGGGAAGACCCTGAAGCATTCCATGATACCTGCCTTGACCCTGAACCTGTGTAATGTTATTTCACAGTGTACTGCAGGCCATTGATGTGCCTGCTTAGGGAATGCTAGGCCAAAGTTCAAATATCAGAATCACAAAATTGTGGATGAAAGACTCAGATGTGTTGCTACACAATTAAAATACCAGCCACTGGGGGGGAGATGTTGCACAAAGATTTTTAGTTGGCTGCCAGTCAGGGTTATTTAGTGAGATTCTGTCTCAAAATAAAAGTAAGCTGGGATGTAGCTCACTACTGGACAGCTTTCCCAGCAATTACAAGGTCTTGGTCTAAGCCCATAGTAATACACACACACACACACACACACACACACACACACACACAAGAAACACACTGAATTAACATAAACTGCAAATATACATTGCAAAGTGAAAGAACATAACAAATAAAAAAAGTAAAAAATATTTGACATTCTAATAGTAAAAACAAAATGGAACACAGGGTAAGCAAAATGAAATGGGAATTTAAGCCAGTACTGGAGGCTCCCACTTGTAGTCTTAGCTATGTTGGAGACAGTAGTAGGAGATCTATGTTGCATAGCACATTATCACCATATTAGCCATGTGTCTGCTGGAGAGTTGTCAGGTTACCCAGCTCCAGCAGCTGTGTGAAATCTTCTGACTGCAGGACCATATGGAGGTCACCTGGATGTGTCAGAAGAGGGAAATGCTAAGAGAGTGGCTTGGCATCTGCCGTGCTGGGTGGTGGGACTGTTGCAACCAGAAGCAGTTTTGGTTTTGACTGGGCCCTGTCTTTGGGTTCCACAAACTGCACCCTGACCACACTGTTGGGGCCTTAGGTCCTCTGCCAACTTAGGGTGGTGGTGGACTGGGAGTCTTTAACCAGTACTGTGTCTCTGTGAGGTGACTTCATGCCAGCTCACAGCCCTGCTGGGAGTTTCTCTCTGCAAATCCCTATATGGCTAACTGAGGTGGCTAGGGGATACTACAATGTACTTATGCAGTTTGTGCTGGGCCAAGGCCTCCCTTTCAGTGTCCCTGTAACTCTTTACTGTGACCTGGCTTCCCTTTGAGTTCTTTAGTTTCAAGGGAAGCATGGGCTAAACTCTGATCTGTGTCCTAAATCCAGTGCTTCTTAGTGCTGCCAATAAGTCCCAAATTTCCAGAAATGTGCACATTGTCAGATTCTTGTAAATGCTCATCCACATGTGCCTGTGGTTGGTTTCTGAGTGGCTGGGACACTTTTTGCCCTTTCTGACTTAACAGTTTATTTTGCACAGGTAGTTTCTAGAATATTATTCTATAATGAAATGCTGATTAACTTAGATTGTGATTTTATAAGTATTACTCTAGATGGAAAGGCACAAAAGAAAGGTGATTTGCTCTCAAATAGAGGAAAAAACAGAAGAAGAAAGAATTTGGGTGTAGACAGACATGGAGATTGGCAAAATCAGTTTTTTCCTGTGATCATCTTGGTATTGCTTGTTTCTTTGTTTTATTTTTGGTGACTGAAGTTGGAAACCATAGCTTAGCATTTACAGAGGAGGTGCTCAACTGCTGCACCACATCTCCAGTCTACTTTATCTGCTTCTTTTGGAGGTGGGGTCCATACATGAAATAAGTAAATTACTTTTTTTGGCAATGTGTTTTTATTTTCTGGGTGCAAATGATTAGATTGAAACATGAGATATGATAAATCCCTGGACACCTGCTTCATTCCAGTTTCCAGAGATTTACATCAGGTCATATCAACTTCCTTTGTCCTAGCCTACCTAAGTCTCCCCTCCTTAACAGACATAATGAATTTTCTCCAATTCTGAGTAAATCTGTTGTCCCATTTTCAGGAGGAGATGCAAGGTCACAGGGAGTATGATAAGAGGCAGGTGCAGATTCAGAGGGCAAGGACAAGTTCTGCTGAATATAATTATCGAACAATCTAAAAAGTATTCCAACAAAGGAAGCTTGATTATTTCATTTTCAACTCACCAGTTTAGCACATCCTAACCGCTCCACTTTCCCATCAATCAAAGGCTTAGGAGTTGGGCCGTGTGCCAATTAGCCAATCAGAGCAGCTGTTTAATCGTCTGCACCACCCGACCAATGAGGAGCGACAGTGGAAGGGACTCACGTTGCCTTCCTCATCATCGCCATATTTGCCATGCGCCTGCTGGTGGAAAACTTCTCAGGCTACACAGCTCCAGCAGCTGTGTGAACTCTTCTGACTGCAGGACCATAGTGAGGTCACCTGGACGCGTCAGAGCGGGAAATGGTGAGCAGTGACTGGGCATCTGCAGTGCTGGGTGGAGGGACGGTTGGATCCGGAATCAGCGGTGGTTTTGACTGTGCCCTGTCTGTTTGGCATCTGAGCCCTGATCACGTGGTTGGGACCATAGTCCAGGGCGACTGGAGGGTGGCGGTGAACCGGAGCCTTGAGCCCTGTCCTGTGTTCTTTTGAGGTGACTTAATACCAGCCCACAGCTATGCTGGGAGACTCTGTCTGCAAATTCCTCTACGCAGACTGAGGTGGTTTGGGGTCTCCTGAGCACTTATGGAGTTTGTGCTGGGACAGAGCGCTCCAGTGGAGTGTCCCCATAAATCCTTACTGGGACCTGGCTTCCCTTTAAGTCTATCAGGTTCAAGGGAAGCATGTGCTAAACTCTATGCCGTCTCCCCTCAATGCAGTGCTTCTTAGTGCTGCTAATCAGTCCTAAATTTCCACGAATCCCGCACATTGAATATTCACTGGAAATGCAAATCCACACGTGCACGTGGTTGGCTTCTTGTGGAGGGGACACTTTTTGCCCTTCCTGACTTAACTGTTAATTTTCCACAGGTTGTTTTTCGAATATGGTTTTATAATGAAATGCTAATTAACATAGACCATGACTTTAAGAGAATTATTCTAGGGGGAAATCCCCAAATGTAAGGTATGTAGGCATCTCAAGGAAGAAAGGCAATTTGCTTTCAAAGTGAGGAGAAAACATAAGAAGAAATAAATAGGGAGTGGACAGACATGGAGATTGGCAAGAACAGGTTTCTCCTGTGATCATCTTGGTCTTGTTTCTTTGTTACTTGTTTTATTTTGGGAGGAACTAAGTTTAAAATCATAGTTTTGCATTTACAGAGCAGTGCTCAACCACTTGAACCATATCTCTAGTCTGTTTTCCTCTGGATATTTAGGGGATGGGTTCTCCTAAAGTATTTTTCTTAGCTGACCTTGACTGTCATCCTGATCAGTCTCCCAATACCTAGGTTTGCAGAAAGGAGCTAGCAGTGCTAGGATCTTTGTGGTCTGGTTGGGTCTGGAGACCTAAGACAGATGAGTGAGTATCGCATCCCCCATGGAGAGCAATGTCATTCCTGCATCCTGAGCAGATAGAGGCCTGCACTCCTGGATCCTGAGAGGGAGCTGTAAACTGCATTTCTGCAACCTAAGAAAGTCACAGGATCTGATAGATCTGCCATAGGGCTGATGAGCAAAATGTTCTCAAGATTGTTTCCCCTCCTCCAATAAAGGTGCAAACCAAGCCAGTTCACTGAGAAAGCCCACGAATCCATGGCCAATGAGAAAAACCCACCTAATGGAGAGTTAGAATGTCCATAAAAACCCCAGCCTTCACCTGAGCAGTGAGCTAAGTACGGGCTTCCGTCTTCACTGCAGCGTCTAGCTGAAGGCTTTCCTTTCTCTCTAATAAATCCTAGTTAATATACCTGCTTGGCTTATCAGTCAGCTGCCTCATGAGGCAGTTCCTTGCCTTGTGAGGGCAATGACCCTCAACCCTGGCCCACAGCACTTCCACACTGGTACCTAACAGTCTTCTTTTTTTTTTTTTATGGCACTGGAATTTGAATTCATGTCCTCATGCTTGTGAGGTAAGTGCTCTTACCACTTGCGTGACTCCACTATCCTTTTTTTCTGATGGGTTTTTCTGAAGATAGGGTCTCACAAACTTTTGCCAGCATGGGCTTTGAACAAAGTCCATCCTGATCTCTGTCCACTGACCAGCTAGGATTACAGGCAGGAACTACAGGGACCTGGGTTCTTCATGAAATGATGGTGACGCGAATGTGTGAATTGTTTGATGAGCCAGGCTCAGATTCCTCAAATTCACCTTAAAACTATTTACAAATCATTTTGAAGATATTTGCAATGATTACTTCATAGTCATTTTTTATGCCAAAAAAGGGCATTTGGGAAGGTGCTGGGGAATGTCTGAGTTTGCAAAGGGGGTAATGGGAACAATGTTGGTTCTGTGATTCTTTTGTAGTGCAGAAATGATTGGATGTGTAAGTTAATTGCAGATATTTATGAGTGTTACAACTTCAGAATCTATCATTCCACCACTTTTCTTTGTGTTGAGGTACATGGTTAGACAGGGTGTAATTTGTGCCAATGAAGACAAGTCTGGGAGGCCCAGGCTTACAGAAAGACACCTTTATATTTTTCCTGATAGGGCAAAAAGTTGGTGCATGTGGAAGGTGATGTGGGTGTGTAGTATAAATTAAAAATTTTAGTCCTTGTGTCAGTTTCTAGCAAAGAGATTCTGAGATTCTTGAAATTTCTGAGGCAATAGGAGTGTATTTGGTTGTTTTCCTAAGCTCCATTGAGGCAATGTTTGCATTTATTCTCATGAGTTGTCTCAGGGTGTAGGTCTCTATGACTTTAGGAAGATGAATGGTGTGACCAGACATAGCAAACATGTTCTAGGGCTTGGTGTCTGTTTCACACTGCCCAGAAGGTGGGGGGACTGTGCTAAGTCTGGACAGTGTCAGATTTAAATTGAAAGGCAATTAGTTGGTGTTTGAAATTTGGTTGGTTTTGGTAACACTACATATTTGTTATTAGATTATATGATAAAGAAATACAGCACAAATAATATCATTTGAGGTCTTTGTGGGAATGTTGGTAACATTACCAGAGTGTCCATTCTTGGTACTTAATGTCCTGTGTGAGATGAATTCAGCCAAGGCACTGGAGTTGAGCAGAAGTGAAGCATGGTTCATGAAGGAAAAAGTACACATTGAATAGATTTCATAGGCAGCAGTTAGGCATAAACCATGTGAATATACTAAGCAAACCTAAAATGGTGGAAGACATCAGAAGGTTTCTGAAAATAAACATTGCAGTTAATACAACTCAGTGTACATTGACAAAGATTAAAATAGCTCAATAAGGTCATAGGATGTTAGAAGATGACTCTGAGATTTCTCTCATCTTAAAGTGGGTGCATGAGAACACTTTCTGGAGCAGTGAACTTTCACAAAGTCTCAAGCCCATAAACTATATCCCATGTGGTGAGGTTGACCCAAAAGATTTTGCTCATTTTCATTATGTAAAGTTTTCCTAGTGTTCTAAACTGTTAGAATATTCCCTTAGGGTAGGGGTGTTAGGATTGATGCTCTGTAGAGTATGGATGACTTAAATTTACTAGGGAGTTTTGATAGTGTGTGAATTTACCTGAACTTTTATGGATGTTTTCTTTTTCTGTGATTTGCCAATAGGTCAAATGTTCTAATCAATTACACATGTCCATTTAGCATTAAACAGCTTCTTTATATGCTGGTCCTTGACTATACTGATGACCTGTGGTGTTGAGCATTTTTCCTACTTCTTTCTTCATGTTACTCTGACCCCCATCTCACCCATTCCTCTCTGCCTGTCATTTTTCTTTTGTTGTTCCTTTGTTCTGTGTAAATGGTGTTCTTCTATTAATGTGAAGTTTGGATGGTTATGATAAATTCTGCAAAATAATGTGCTGTGCATTTATCTGGTGTAGTACAATCTTGCTGAAATCCTTTATGTACCTATTTATTTATTTTTTACTCAAGGTCTTGGTATTGCAAAGGCACGCACTACACCACTTCAGCCTGTTGACAGGTGTGGTCCTTTATTGATTATATTATCTCATTTTCTGTTCCCCTTTATGATACCAAGTATGCATAAAATGTGTTTTAGTAATTTCTAAATATGTAAAATCCTTTCTAAGTAAGCTACATGCATTTCAACTAAAGATGTGCTGCTTCATAGACAGGGTAGGCATATTGGTATGTTCCGCACTATTGTTCTTCAATCCATATATAACTGTTCTTCCTAATTTTCCCTGTTATAAGTTATCACCTAGTCCATACTTCAAATTCGATGACTATAAGTAAAGGTTTTCCTTAAATACCAGTAGTGAGGAATAAAGTAAAGAATTTTCATTCATTTCTTAATTTCCTAACACTGTTTTTCTCTATGTGATGTAAGTTCTTAGATTGTATTATTTTGCTTCTCTCTAGAGAACTTTCAATAATTTACAAAATTCTGATACTGGTGACACATTCTGTGAATTTTAAAGTTTCTTTAAAATATTCTTTCTCTCTGGGTGCATGATTTGAATTACTGTCATGTTGATTGTTCTTCTTGTTCTTGTCCTCCATTGAACAAGGAGGTTTCATTCAACGTCTTGTATATCCATATTCATAATTTATATATAATCTTTTGATGATTTCTAAGTCTGTACTGATAGTAACTTTTCTGTACATAGTATTTCCACTTTGCTGTTTGTTCAGCATGCTTACCTACAATCCTTGATTCTACTTTAGACAATTCCAAGAAAGACTTTGTGAAATGAGTCCACTGCCTGAGATTTTTCAGCAATCAATATTCTCATTCTGAAAATAGAATTTTGGACCCAGGACCCAAGCTCCTTAGATGCCACATTCTAGGTCCAGCTAATTACCTTTCAATTCCACATAAAGAAGCATGGTGAAGGCAGGGAAAGGAGAATTATTACACAGCTAGGGCTATGCTGTGGGATGAGGCAGCTTAAGTCCTGAGCTCATTTTCACCATCTGAGATATAGATTTAAATAGGCAAAGAACTGGGGGCAGGGACCAAAGATATGCATAGTTAAACAGTTCCAGTCATAGGTGTGGTGTAGTTGTTGTAACTCAGCTGTTGTTATGGGAGAGGTTCTGGAGTTATTATCCAGAAGATGGTCCATCCAAAGGAGGGTCTGCTGTTGGGGGAAGATTTGGATTCAAGTCATGAAGAAAATATCTATATTCTCCTTCCTAGATTCCAAGGGGGTAGCAAGGTGACTGCAGAGAATGACTCAGAGAAAAAGTGATTGAAAATGGAGAGATGCCATGTTTTTTCCTGCTTTTAGTTAATTTATTTGATTCATGGACTGAGTATGGAGTCCATGCTTTTTAGGAAAAGCAGTTTGAGGAACTCCTACAATGCTTTTTGACTGACTGTCTTCACATCCTTGTTTCTTCATATTTGTTGTCATTTGTTCCTTGTTTGTGAAAAGTGGATATATTATCTTCATGCAAAGTTTTTCCATTTTGTTGGTCTGGCCTAGAACCACAACTTTTCTGAGATGACAGGGGATCCTCATGGGAAAATGAGTGTGAAATTCTCTCACCATAGTTCAGGTTCCGTTTCCCAGTGAAGAAGGATGCATTGTGAAAAGCAGGTTCCACTTAACTTCAATGAATCCCCAGGCTGGAGTGGGTAGGCACCAGGGAAGAGGCCTGAACTGCTGAGGGGTGTTCCTGGATTCAATTAATTGGTTTTTGCACTCTCCCTGATAGGGGATCACATCTTATGTTACTCAGAACTCAAGGGGCGTGTTCTGGTCACTAGCCTGTGAGAAGTGCTTGAGACCTGGCAAATCACAGGCTGGTCTAAGGAAGACCTTATGATTAATACAGGAAATGCCTTCTGGTCTCTGCCATTTTTTGGATCACATTGTGCTGCTGAGAGCAATTCTATGTAATTTAGTCTCTCTCCTAGTGTGACCTGCACATGGTCCCAGGTGAGTGAGCAAAATTTAACTCATCAAAGATGCCTGAAATTCTGTTTGTAACTGGCATCCCAGACCCTAGGAGGATGAGAAAGTAAGAAATGGCCTGAAGAGATTGGTACTGATCTGGTCCTCCCAAGTACATCACTACATTTTGTAGCCTGAATCGCCATTTGTGCAGCTTTGCACTTTTTCTTCTCTACCCTGGGGTGGAACAGTTGAGATGGGTGAACTCTGGCATCTGTCTTCTATGTGCAGTGACATAGCCCTGGCCCAAAGCTCTGTTAGGACTCCTCAGCATCTGAGCTCTAGGTCTCCCCAGCCTTCAGTGCGTGGGAGGTTTGGGCTTCCTCCATTATCCTTGGGGCATCAGTGATTGCCCAGAATTAGCTAAGTGTTTAGAAGCTGGTCTCAGACTAGAGCCAGGTCTGCAGCCCAGTTCTTCTTAGGGCCATCATAAATTCCTAAACTGAAGCTGTCTTTGCATTGCCCAGCTCACAATAATGGCTCTGCATGTGCATGTGGGGTTCATGACAATGGGGACATGTTGGGAAGGTGTTGAAGGTTTGAGGGTTTTGCAATCTCTGACATTATTGGAGTTGTCTAGCTAGTATGTCCAAACTTTAATTTCAGATGGAGAATGGACTGACCATATTGAAGTAGCAGTAGCAGGACAGCACCAACTCGGAGGTCAGCAGGGTCTCAACGGTGAGGCAGAGCAGGGCTGTGCCTTCTAGGGAGGAGCATACTGTAGTGGACAACTATGGGAGAGGAAGGACAACAGAGTGAGCTCGATCAGCTCCGTGACCAGATGTCCTTTCCCCTGAGCTGAGATTGTCTTCAGGTTACCATAAAAGTCATTTGTTGTGCTGCCTCAGCTTCAGGGTGTGTCACAGAATTCAGGAGTGTCAAAAAGGAGACAAGGTTCAGGAAAGTTTGCTTATTAGCTGTTCTGTTTCTTCTGACCAATTAAGGTAAAGTTTTTGAGGCAGAACATGAGAATATCAAGTTTGAGCCTTACCTTATTTAGGTTTACTGAAGAAAGACATGTCAGTGTAATGGGAACACAAAACATACTGTTATTTAATCAAAGTAATCTAGGATTACTTTGCTTTGGTAATACTTAAGCTGTTTGCATTTCCTTTTTTTTGTGGTACTGTGGTTTGAATTCAGTGTCTCACATTTGCTTGGTAGGCCCTGTACCACTTGAGCCTCTGCACCAGGAAGTTGTTTGCATTTTCATTAAAGGAGTTGATCTTGTCAGAATGTACCTTGTGACAATTGAGAAAGCCTGTGAAGTAGAGTAGAAAAACAAGACACATTTGCTTCTGTCTGGTAGAATGCAGGCTTTCCTTTGAGTCCATCGGCTTCAAGGGAAGCCTAGGCTAAACTCTGATAGAACAATAATGCCGCCATTTTGTATATCGGTGGCCATTTTATCATCAGGCCTCACTTGAGAAATGGAGCCATTCTCAATAACATCCCTTCATTAAACAGAAATTTCTGTGCTAAGTAGAGTGAAAAAACCAGACACATTTGGTTCTGTCTGCTAGAATGCTAAAGCAAATACTGTAACTTTATCTGAATGATTCTTCAGGAGTCTTATTTAACTTTAAATTTGGGTTGATATGTTCTAAACCAGGTAGAAGCTTCCAAATATTCTCTCTTGATATAGTCACCAATGAGGTGCTTATTTCCAAAATGTAATTTTGAAAAATTTTTTGGAAAGAGATGTTAAATGCTATTTGTCATACCAACTTTCTATTTGTAACCATTAGTGCATTGTGGGTTCTCTTACTACAGACTCCCTCTGTATATATACAGTAGGATATTATTGGAGTAAATTGCTTCAGGACACTGTCCCATTTTTACACTTTATATTTGGTTTGGTGAGGTTTCATCTCATTAACAGTTCTGCAATGTTAGTAGACATGAAACTTTTACTCTTGTATTAAAAACATTATTCCTGTAGTCTGTTTTCACCTGATATTATTCTAATGGAAACTAAGAAGAAGGAATTTGTTAGTAGATTGATTGGTACGATCTCTGTATAACATGCAATTTTTGTTACCATGTTCTGCTTTGAATTTAAGAAATAGGTCCAGTGAGATGTCAGAATTACTATGAAGTGCCTGTGAGTATAGATGGAGAATGAGAGTGTGATTAAAAATAAAATGCATTGAATATGTGGAGATCACATCAGCATGTGAATTTATTACACAGAGATTGTCTGTTTCCACTGCTGTTAACACTCACAATTCTTTTCACAATGTGTGTGGGACATATTAGGATCCCCTGACCTTTGAGGATGTTGTGAACTTCACCCTAGAAGAATGGGGCTGATTGGATCCTTCCCAAAAGAAGCTCTACAGAGAAGTCATGCTAGAAACCTGTAGGAACCTGTCCTTCATAGGTAAATATGGCATCATTACCTTATACATACTGTGCAATACTGTTGTGACTCATTGGTGTTGTTGCCTCATGGGGTGTTTAAAAAGGGACAGTAATGGTTCATGTACATGCATGATCATATTATGCTATGAAAATAGCTGAGGTCTGAAATTGTTCTTTCATATTGATTAAATACTAATGATTTCTCTCTATATATCTTATAAACAAAAGAAGAAAATGAAAATATTCAAGAGGACTTCAGGAATCCCAGAAGAAATGTGAGGTAATTTGTACTCAGAACCAAAACAGTGAACATCAGATGGAGCATTAACAAGAAGTTTGAAAACCAAGAAAATAAGAACACAATTTCTATTTGTAAATTGCTGAGATCAGTGCAAAGTCTCTCTAAGATTGGAGAAACAAGTTAAGCATCCACAATCAAAAAATTCAAAGTCTGATCTGTGCCATTTTTCATAATATGTTTTGTTCTAATATATTAAAAGAGATACGTCCTGTTGCTCAATATACAAAAATAACCTCACTCTTTGCACATACAAATTTCACTAGATTATATCACCTTGCATTACAGTGGATTATCATTTGCACGGGAATAGACTGGCACATTTTTCAGCCTTTGTCCTCGTGTTCATTCTTGTATTTTACAATCCAGTATGCTTTTGATCCCAGGCAACTCAATAAGCACTTTAAGTGTATTTCAATGTGGTAAAACTCATTCAGTGTTGTCAAACACCTAAAATGGACATATTGTGACAGAAACAACATATAAACACCACTGTTTTGTTAATAGCTGTCCTCAGGCCCTGCTGCAGAACATGTAGTAGTACATTTGTGTTCATAAATTCTTACAGTAACAAACACCATAACTGCTCTTAATAAATCATTAATTGGATAACAATGGTAATCTTTGTTTGTTTTACAGACCTGAAGTGTTAGAGAGACTCAAGGAACATAAACAACGTATTCAATGTGGAGAATCCATTCAACACACTCCAGAGAACATTGTAAGCAAGGAAACTCTGCTTAGAACAGCTCCCTGTAAAAGCAATATATGTGATGCTTATGGGAAAACTTTCACTGATGACAAGGCTCTTCTAATCCATGAAAAGATACACAATGTGCTGAAATCTCATGGATGGAAAAAATGTGGAACAGCCTTCACTTCATCTGGTACTTTTCAGAATTATGAAACTTCTCACACTAGTGAGAAACCCTATGTATGTAAACAATGTGGGAAAGCCTACAATCATCCCCATAACCTCCATATTCATGAAAGAACTCACAGTGGAGAGAAACCCCATGGATGTAAGCAATGTGGGAAATTCTTCACCCATGCCTATCACCTTCGTTATCATGAAAGATTACATAGTGGAGAAAAACCCTATGGATGTAACCAATGTGGGAAAGTTTTTGCTCAAGCCCGTTACCTTCGACTTCATGAAAGAACGCACAGTGGAGAGAAACCCTATGGATGTAAGACATGCGGAAAATTCTTCACCCAGGCATGTCACCTGCGATATCATGAAAGAACGCATAGTGGAGAAAAGCCCTGTGGTTGTAAGCAATGTGGGAAAGTCTTCACTCATGCATGTTTCCTTCGATATCATGAAAGAACTTACAGTGGTGAAAACCCTATGGATGTCAGAAATGTGGGAAATCCTTCACCCATGAGTGTTACTTTCATTATCATGACAGAACACATAGTGGAGAAAAACCCTATGGTTGTAAGCAATGTGGGAAAGTTTTTGCTCAATCCACTCACCTTCAAATTCACAAAAGAATTCACACTGGAGAGAAACCCTATGGATGTCAGAAATGTGGGAAAGTCTTCACCTATGAGTGTCAACTTCGTTATCATGAAAAAACTCATAGTGGAGAAAAACCCTATGGATGTAACCAATGTGGGAAGGTTTTTGCTGAAGCCATTCACCTTCGAACTCATGGAAGAACTCACACTGGAGAGAAACCCTATGGATGTCAGAAATGTGGGAAAGTTTTTGCTCAAGCCCGTTACCTTCGACTTCATGAAAGAACTCACACTGGAGAGAAACCATATGGATGTCAGAAACGTGGGAAATTCTTCATCCATGCGTGTCACCTTCGTTATCATGAGAGAATGCATAGTGGAGAAAAACACTATGGATGTAACCAATGTGAGAAAGTTTTTGCTGAAGCCATTCACCTTTGATTTCATAAAAGAACTCACACTGGAGAGAAACCCTATGGATGTAACCAATGTGGGAAAGTTTTTACTCAAGCCAGTTACCTTCAACTTCATGAAAGAACTCACGCTGGAGAGAAACCCTATGGATGTAGCAAATGTGGGAAATTCTTCACCCAGGCGTGTCACCCTCGTTATCATGAAAGAACGCATAGTGGAGAAAAACCCTATGGTTGTAAGCAATGTGGGAAAGTCTTCACTCATGCAAGTTTCCTTCAATATCATGAAAGAACTCACAGTGGAGAAAAACCCTATGGATGTCAGAAATGTGGGAAATTCTTCACCCAGTCATGTCACCTTCGAATTCATGAAAGAATTCACACTGGAGAGAAACCCTATGAATGTAAGCAATGTGGGAAAGCCTTTAAGCAAGCCAGTCATCTTCAGAGACAGAAGAACTCACACTGGAGAGAAAACATATTAATATAAGGAATGTAGGAAAGCCTACACTCAACTCACTCACCTTCAAGCACATAGAAGAACTCACATATGAAACCTTATAGGTATATGCAATGTTAGAAAGTGCTCACTCATTCCTGTCACCTTTGAAGCCCTGAAAGAATTCACACTGAAGACAACCTTATGGGTGTAACCAATTGGTGAAAATGTTCACATGGCCCCCTACCCTTAAAAGTCATAAAGGTACTTAGATTAGAGAGGAAAGCTATGGATATGAGCAATTTCCAGTGACATTAACAAATGTGAATTCACTCTGCAGAGAAACTATGAATGTAAGGAATGAGAGACAAACTACACTGTATCCAGTATCCTTCATACACATCAAAGAACTCAACCAGGACAAACCCAGTGGATGTAAGCAATGTGGAAAGCCTTCCTTAGTTCTAGTACCCTTCATTCACCTGAAAGAACTCATTATGTGAATAAACACTAAGGTCATGTTAAAAATGACAACATATTTGAACAACATGAATGACCTCATAAGGTAGGAATGCCTTCAACTTTTGCAGTAATATTCTTTGACATGACACAATTCACATTGTAGCACAATGCTATACTTGTGTGTAATGTGCCTAAGCCTTCACACATTCCAGTGCTTCTTCAAAACATACAAAATTAAAATGGAGAATAATTGTATTAGGAAAGCAGTGTAGAAAGTTGTTTTTTTTTGTGGCCATGGGATTTGAACTCAGGCCCTTTTACTAGCTTTGCAGATATTGCACCATATGAGCCACAACTGCAGCCTTTTTGTGTGTCTTAAATATTTATAAGATAGGGTCCCTCAAGTATTGCCGAAGCAACCTTCAAAATATAATCTTCCAGATTGTTCCTCATCACTAGCTAGGATTAAGGTATAAGCTATTGGTTCCCAGGTCTGGGGATTGTCTTCTTTTTTCTGCTGAATTCAAATGCCCTAAGGCATTTATTCTACCGAGTATACTTTGAAAAGTGGATTTTGTTCCATAGTATACACTGTGTTACTATAATTAGAGAATTGTAAATATTCCTGAGAGCAGAGTCAGTTATGCACACAAACCACCCCTTTCCTTTGATAGGCAAACACAAGAAACAAGAAAGCAAAGGTAGGAAATTTTTTCTTTAAGAAAAATGCTTAATTAAAATGCTATCAGAAACTGCTAAGAGGAATATGGAAGAATGACTTCAGCAAACAGCACATGTGGTCATACATGTACACAAGAAAAAGGGCATATTAGGAGAATGTCTAGCCCTAGTTTACAAGCACCTATGGGCTCCAGCTCTCTTGCTGGGGACTCCCTCCAAAAATTTTCTCAATAAAGCATGTGCTAAGGTATTGAGCCTTCCTTGTGCTTCCTTCAATCTAACGTCTATCTCCTCATCAATCTCTGCATGCATTTTAGTCCAACATGCCTTTTTTCCAGCAGCAGTAGGTACTCAGGAGGCAGAGATCAGGATGTTTACAGTTTGAAGTCAGCTGGGACAATTAGTTCCTGAGGTCAGAAGTTCACATCCCAGTATGCCAAAAAAAAACCCTCATAAATTTGCCTCATGTCATCAAAATGTCCTAGATGCTGGGTTGGAGGGTATTTTGACTTGGACAATCAGGCTGAGGTGTTCTTTTTGGTAGGGTCCCAGATTTTCAGGTAAGCAAGACCCTGCTGTATCACAAGTATTTGTTAGTATTAGCTGTCTAGTCTACAATGTGATTTCTTATCAGAGAAACCATGTTTCTCAGCCATCATGTTTCCTAAACTACTCATTAGTCCTCATCAGAGACTTCTTGCTTCTTAGCCAAAAGAGTCTCAACCACAGCAGCCAGGAGTCCATTCTCTTTGCTATCCAATGAAATGGAAGGTGAGACAACTCTCATTTTTGGTCTGTAACTGAGTTGCCGCCTTTCACAGGGGTTCCCAATAAGTTTTCAGTGTGGGATTAGAAAGTTTTTGCATGTATTATTTTGGTAATGCTTTGCCCTTTCTCTTACACAGAGTTTGTAAACATTTTAAAGGGCATACAGAAGTCAGGGAGACCTGAGGAAATGAGGAGAAATGCTAACTTGTGCTATTACTAAATTATTAATTTCTTAAAATTAGATTGTGATATAAGCGAATTGGTTATAAATTTGGTGACAGGAATGAATTACATGTTTCCTTTTACTCAGGAGGAACAGAAGGAATATATTTTCAATTTAAGTTTATTTAACTCACATAGTACTTTTCTGACTTTATTAACAAAGGAAGAAAGAAGACATCTAACATTAACATAGATTTCATTTGTCCTCTGAATATCATATTCACGCCTAAGGTATCCTGATACCAATAGAGTAATAAAAATGAAAAGAACATTTAAAGGCATATTTTTTATATAATTGAAGGGTCAGAGACCTGTTTATGCCACTCATGGAGGTAGCAATTATCTTAAGGCAGCAAGGAAAATAGACTGCCCAGGGAGCTATACTGAGGTTAATGAGGAAGCTATTGTGAAAATTTACTCCCAGGACAGAGGTGTGATCAAGCTGACTGTCTGGGGTGCTCATAGCCTTTGATAGGCTGCTCTCCAATTTGTTGAAGTAAAGGGTATGTGAGGGTAATACATGTTCATCATTATGACCAAAATTGAGTCACATACTTCTTCAGAGTTATGCATAGAGGACATAAAAGGAGACATCCCCAGACACAAAAGATAAAATAAGAAACTTAATAGCAATACTTCCATCCTCCACAATGAACAATGCATTTTCCATGATGAATGGACATGCATTGTGTCTGAACTGAAGGCAGAAGAATCTCTCCAGAAAAGTATTAACTTCTTTCACCAGAAATCCATAAAGAACAAAGTCCAGAAACCTAAAGTGTCAATCAGTGAAGAAAGGCTGATGGTAGACAGTATTCAAGTTTGAAAGCCAAACTCCATATGGGGCTGGTATCAGCAGAATCTATAAATTTGATAGTTTCACCTACAAAACTCAAGAAGGATGTCCCAATGACATTCACAAGAATCCTTCCTACTTTTGATACTGGTTCGTTGGTGGGAGGGATTATTCATTTTGAAATTTTAGATTTTTGCACAAGTATTGTCATCACTGTTGAAATTTCTATAACCAAAACTTCAAGGGGAAGTGGCAAATGTACTCTAATATCACTACCACAACACTATAGATACAGAGAACCACATGTTGTGATATGTTTCAATCTAGTGTCAGGAGGTAGCCTAGAGGGGGTGGTGATTGAAGAAGCACAAATCCAAGGCTATCCAGAAAAGGGCATTACCACACAAAAATCTTTTAGAGACAATAGAGGAGGGAGTCACCCAAGTGTGGGCATGGCAACACACATCTTTAAGAAACAGATACAGAAATGTAGGAGGGAGTTTCCTCTAAATGATGTCCTTAGTGCCAAATCATTGTGACCAAGTCCACCTAAGAGATTTTTTTTCAAAATCCATCTCTCAGGAAGACCTATGCAAACATCCATCTATCAGAAAGACTCCTGGTAGTTCAACCCCTCATACTGCCTACCAAACGTTTTCAGTGTGAAAATGCTATAGTGGATGCTACTGGTCTCAGGACACATTTTCACATTGTGGAAAGACTGACTTTAATTAAATATTTATTTATGCGGCAGGAATGTATTATAATTCAGAGCTTCCACTGGCTTGGCAGACACCTCCTCTTGAACCCCATCCTCAGCCCAGATGTCTTCTCTTTCCTTCAGTCTGGCCCATAGCCTCAATACACAGGCGAGTCTCATGTTGGCCTTGTGAAAGATGGAATCACTCTTGGTAGGATTTAGAGAACTGGATTCCCTGCTACAATCATTGTTGACCCGTCACTCTGCTTCCTGGACATACTGAGGCAAGGTTTTGTGTATACAAATCCATGTACCCTTGCCTGCATAGATTTTATGGCTGACTTTTGTTCTTCATATCATATGCACTTGCCTCAAATGCTTGAGATTTCACATAGCCAAGGTAGATGAGCAGTTCTGGGTGTCTAAGCAGTGGTTGCACTTCTATGGACCCCTTAGCCATTGTCATCAAAAGGGCTTTTCACAGCTATCCCAACCCAGCATATCCCCTTTACTTTGCCCTGGTGGGGTCTGTCTGATGGCTTAACCTCTGTGGTGGGTTTCTGCCTGGGCCAGCGATTCCATGTGATGCTTTTTACAATAGACGTGAGAGAAGGCCACAATTCCCAGCTCTAGAAAAAGGATACGATGTGCACCAAAGTTTACCCTTGGTGAGTTACCCTCAACATAGTATGGATGTACTGCCCCCATTATATTCTTGTAATCACATGTTACTGGAATTTTGGCCTGTAATGGGATACTCAACTCTGAATTTCACAGAGTCTTCATAGTCACTCCTCCAGTCCCTAATGAGTAGAAATTTTGTACTTTCTGTTTCAACAAAAATTTTATGGGTACCAGTATTTGAATTAAGTGCCTCAACATGCTACACAGACACTTTAGAAGTTGAGCTACTCTGTAAAAGATGAACCCAAATTTTAAGTCACCTCACTTGGTATTATTCCCAGATCATAAACTTTGATTCCTTCCACGGAAAGAAGGAATGTTTTCCATATGTATAAAATCTGCTTCCTTTTCATTATACCTATACTTCCCAATTTGTATTTACTCTATAAGCTGTCAGGAGAAGCCAGGTATCCCTCAAATTTTCTCATTTAGATATATTTTTCTAACAAATTTCATAGCTCACTACACTACACTTTTGTTTCATCATGTCGTTAGATGCAGAAATAATTTCACTCATCTGCCACACTTCTTCAAACACTCCAAAATTGTCTTTTAAATGACACTGAAAATGTCCCCAAACACATACATTTTGATAGTTTTTTAATCACAGTTGAATCAAAATATTAAGGTTTCACACAGATGCAAAGAGAATTCGACACTGTTCCAAAACACTTTCTGTACCTCCTTGACTAGATTAAATCAGGAACTACAAGGATGAACATTAGACAGTATT